TGGATGAAAAGAAGAGAAGAAAGCAGTATATCTGGCAACGAGCTTGGAAATAACAGCCACTGGAAATACTTCGACAATTGTCAGCAAACGACAGACACAACTATAGAGCACTGGTAGCTGCTTTAGATCTCAGGTATGGAACCCAAAATCAGTCTGAAGTCTACAGGGCTAGGTTTAGTATGAGAGTCCGTGCTAAAGGGGAGAGCCTGCAAGAGCTGGCACAGGATTTGGAAAGTATGGCACACAAGGCCAACCCTACTGCACCACCCGATGTCCTCAAGCTGTTGCTGAGGGATCAGTTTGTAGATGCCTTGGACAGTCCACAACTGAAGATACAAGTAAAGCAAGCACACCCCTCTACTATGCAAGATGCAATGACTAGAGCTCTTGAATTCAATTCCTATGTTAAGTCCAGCACAGAGGTACCAAGGTTGGTACAGTCATCAGGATTCAAGGCCAGAAAAGGTCAGCTTTCAGAGAGGATTGAGGGACTTTGCTGGCACTGTAACAAACCTGGGCACAAGAGAGCTCAATGCTGGAAACTTCAACACAGGGAAGATGCCACGGCAGGAAAGGCTGCTACCCAGAAAAGTTGTTGGAACTGTGGAGAGCAAGGACATATGAGGAGCCAGTGCAAGAAGAATACTATCAATAAGTCAGCCTCGGGAAAACCAGTAGTGGTTGGTGTTGAAGGACGCCCATCAACCCCCATCCTGAAAGTCCCAACAGCTAAGTGTGAAATGGCAAACACACATAGTGTCTATGTGACAGGAAAGCTGGATGGCCAAATGTGCAACTTTGTCATAGATTCTGCATCTAAGCAAATCCTTGTGAGCATCAAGGTGCTGGATCACAAAGGAGTACCAGAAGTCATACAGAAGCTCTGTGGCCTGACAGGACATTATGCAAGGTTGTGGGGACCAGTGTGAGTAACTATCGAGCTGATGGGCATGAAAAACAGACAGAAAGTATACTTGGCTGACATTGAAGACCAATGCATATTAGGATTGGACTATTTAATACTGAGAAAGTGTGTAGTTAACTTCGATAAAATAATGATTGGAAACAACAAAGGCCAAATTCCAGTAAGTGTTGCTGCATCTGTTGATTTGCATGTCACAGCACTTAAATCAACTACATTACCCCCTATGTCAGAGAAGATAATTTAAGGTAGGATAAAAGAACATCCCCAAGGAAGCCCAATGCTTGTGGAAGCAGTGGAAGACCCATCCAGGCCAACGGATTTGAAAATTGGAAGGTCACTTGTGGCTGGTCATCAAGTAGTACCCATAACAGTGGCTAATTTCTCTAAATGTGAGCAGACACTTAAGGAAGGGTCATTGTTGAGTGTGTGCCAGGAGGTAGAGCCAGTCAATGTTAAAGCAAGAAATACAACTATAAAGAAAGGACATACACTCCCAGAACATTTAACTGGCCTCTATAAGAAGTCCATGCTCTATAAGCATAGTCCATTTGTCATCATCACAGGCTCTTCAGGTTAGGGAACTTTTGGCAAATTATGCAGACGTCCTTTTGAAAGGAGATCATGACCTCAGCTGCACAGACCTTGTGGAGCACAGAATAAACACAGAGACGGAGTAAGAATTTCTACGGAAAATTAACAAACGAACAGAGACGTAACAAATCCATATTATCCATTACGCTTCTGTTGGTTCAATAACCTATATTATCCATTAGTCTTCTATTGGTTCAATAACCTATATTATCCATTAGGCTTCTATTGGTTCAGTAACCTATATTATCCATTAAGTTTCTACTGGTTCAATAACCTATATTATCCATTAGGCTTCTACTGGTTCAATAACCTATATTATCCATTAGACTTCTGTCATCTTAGTCTTCTTTGTATTATTAATAAGTCCAACAAGTGAACCTTTAACTAAGCCTGTGACTGTACATGACAATTCCTAAAGCCACCATCAGTGCAGTTCACAACTCCTGTTCATCTCAACATTATAACAAATCCAAAAACTTGTTTTGAAAAATAATTGTTTGTTAATGAAGATTTATTCACATACAAAGTTAATGGATGTTTTTTGTCTATGATATTTGGATATCAAAGGCAGACATCAAGTTATATATCAGTTATAGTATGAGAGTAGTTTAAAAACAAAGCTATGTTAATGGTTTTACAAGTAAGCCTGTAACTAGAATTTATTTCCATAAAAATTGTTTCACCACATTTTCCTAGTGCTACTCAGAGTTTTCTTGAAGAATTCTTTCAACTTTAGCTCTCAAAAACAGTTATTTGTTTGAAAGAACCATGGTTGGTTTTATATTATATAGCAAGCAACTTATAATATTGTAAAAAATACATTACACTTAATTGATTTATATTCATGACAGCAAGATTCTGTGTCTAAGATTTTTAGCATTATTTTTCTGAGTATCAGTTTAATGCTCAAATTTTGGTAGTTGTTTAATCAAATGAAGAAAGTATAGAAAATTTGATTAAAATTATTTAAAATCATATTTAGTTATCTCAAAAACTATTTATGTTGTTCTTTTTGTTTTGTGCATTTGTAATATATCTATAAACAAGTAATTTTTGAACTTGTAAACATTTGAATTTCACATTTATTACAGCGATAGCAATCATTCCGGCCATTCTGCAACTGTGTTTGTTACCCCTTTGTCCTGAGAGTCCTCGGTACTTGCTCATTTCTAAACAAGAGGAATCCCTTGCAAGGGAAGGTAAGAAATTAAATTAATTGATTATTAGATTATAAACATTGTATATAAAGGGGATTTATTTTATAATTTCCTTCCCAGTAACCAAGACAACTATAAATAATTATATTTTATATGATTTATAGCAATTTCAAAATAACACCTGAACAGTGGGAACTGTTTGTATTTAAAAACTATAGTATTATGTGTAATGGGATATACCTGTGGACATCTGGTAATACTGTAAGTTTTTTATTAAAGAATGTGGACCATAAAGTAAGAAATCAAATGATAGATTAATGCAGTATATAATCTTTTCTTCACTGAAATTTATGTTTTGGTGAAGAAAAGATATTAACAAATAGGTATGTTGTTGTTTATGGTGGAGGATACATTTATGGTGCATTTCATGTATTTTCCAGTATTCTTTCTTTAAATTATGATTTCAGTCTGCTATTGAAAAATCAATATTTCATAAGATAACAATTTCCGTTAAGAACGAAATGTATAACTGTAAACATACAGTTTAGTCTAGATTTTGAATTGCCTGTGTCATTGTGACTAGGTGTTAACTTTTGTGGAACAGAATTTTTACTGAAATCAATAAGCATTAAGATAAGAGATGTTATTCAGGGATGTACAAAATGTGATCAACTAACAGTACCAAACTATGGGGCAATCCACTTATCCTGAAATTACTAGGTTAATTCTGGTTGTTTGAACTTTAATCCAAAATACATCTTCGAAAACAAAATATTTTGAAGAATGGACACATTTAATTACTAACCCTGCATATTTATTTTACTATTAATTGTGAATAAATTACATACTTTTCTAATCTTGTTTACCTAGACTTGTTTGAAAACACAAGAAGTTTTATCATTGAATAAATCACTGTGCTTGAGTGATATTAATTTATAATCAATATCATTTTTCATTTAATTCTTTCTTTTTGACTGTTTAATATGTAAATAAAGTAAAAAAGTAGCACATAAGTAACTAATGAATTAAACTCTTAGTTAATCTAATATAATGTTATGTCTCCGTTTGTTAATTGATTTTTTGTAAATTTGTTCCGACGAAACTTCAGCGACATAAGTCCTTTCTTAAATAAAACTGGTTTATTCTTTCCGAATACAACTTTACGATACACTCAACTTCAACAGTTGCGCTATAACAAACTATAATTCACGTCTCACGAGCTCG